CATTTAGAAATTCCGACCGTTAGGCAACATAAATTGACTTTTTGTTTCACGGTGGGAGACTCAAACAATGCCTAAACCTAATCTCTACATATTCATCTCACCTAGCCCCCACCCACGCACCATTTCAAAATCCGTAATTAAATTTTCTCTCACTACTCACTCACTCACTCTCTCTCTCTCATCTCCTCCTCTGTATCTTCTCTTTCTCTCACTCTCTCTTTCCATCCATCCATCATCTTCCTTCTCCTCATTTTCCATCGACAGCCACCGTGGAGCAGCGTCGCCAGGATCGAGTCGTCGCAACCACAACCGTGATGATTTGGCCACAGGTGGGTGAGTTCACTGCAGACCCACCACCGCTCGTCTGCAATCGTCGCCGTCATGTCGTTGCTACAAGCAATGACGCACTGTAGTTGATTGGATCTGGTTTTAGATCTGCGCGATGTTGCCGTCATGGCTACAATCGATGGGATATGGCTAGGTGGTGGTGATGTGTGGTGGCGAGGTAGGTTGGTGGTGTTGGTAGTGGTGTCGGTGGCGGGTGGAGTGTGGGACGAGTGTTTGTGATCTGCTTTGGCCTTTCTCTTCGTAGATTTTCTCATTTCTCATTATAGAGATGGTGATGGTGGTTGTTATTGAGGATGCAGTGGTAGTTTAGAAGCTGTGGTGGTGATGTGGGTTGTGGTGGTTGATGGCGGTAGAAAAAAATTTAGTGCAGAACAACAAAAATCAATTATTTTCTGTCGATCTACGCAGTAGATTTGATTTTTGAATTGTTGGAGTTTGTTGGTGGTTTTTTTATCCAATTTGTTGTGGTGTGTGCAGATTGTTCGTGGTGACAATTTGTGACCAAATGTGTGCTTATTGTGACTGATTGTGATCGATTGTGACCTGTTAATTGTGACTCGTTGTGACGATTGTAACTTGAAATTTTGGAAATTTTTTGAAAGTTGGGAGTGGGTGGATGGGGTGGGTAGGTTGATCGGAGCATGTATTGAAGTGGTCATTGGACCAGTTTGTCGGAGGGATTCTTGAATAGCCGCCGGAGCGGGCGTTGGAGTGATCGTCAGAATAGTCGCCGAATCGGCGGCCGGAGTGATCGACGGAAAGTCACCGGAGCGATCGTCGGAACAGTTGCCGGAGTGACCGCCGGAGCCGATGGCCGTCTTCGGTGGAGAGGTGGAGGGAAGGTGGTATAGTGAAGTGATAGGATGAGGTGTACAAGGTGGCATGAGTTAAACACCTGGTGCTTGTTTGGTAGGGATTTTTAGGGGAAGAATTGATTTTGAATAGTGATATGATGGGAAATGTGTGGTTGAAAAAGAATAAAAAATTATTGATGCGATGAAAAATATTATTTTATTGAAGAATGTGTTGTTGAAAATGAGAATTGATTTTAAGAATCAGAAACAAACAACCCTCTGATTTTTGAAAAGATTTTTGGAATTTGTTATTTTTAAAATATAAATCTTAGATGTAAGATTTATGTATTGTTCCCTTAAATTAGTTAACCATTGACATATAAAAAATTATGGTAAATAAACATGAAGAGAAATCAATAAATATTTCTTTAGAAAAATAAAATAGAGAACCAAAATAAAAAGCATCATTGAAAGAATAAAGCTATCTAATTCCACTGCCAAGTCCATGTGACGTTAAATAATATGTTATAAAAAATGAAATTAAATAATTTATTTCATTTAACCTATCATTTAATATCACATTAACGTCACATAGACTATAGTTGTGTTAGTGAAACTAAATAGCACTATTCCTATTGAAATGCATAAAAATTGACTCTTTAAATTTAAAAATGCTCTTTATAAACAATCTCGATCTCAGAGATGCTCTAAACCCATTTTTGGTAAAAATTGAAATCTAGATTTTTATCGAAGTCAAAGTTGATAATTAATTTTAACCACATATTTCATGGAACCCACAACTTTTAAATCACACATTTCATCAACTTTTATCAAAATCTGCTAAAAATCTAATTTTAATCCCTACCAAATAGGAGCTAAATAAAATTTTGGTAAAAAATTGACTAGTCAGAAAAAAATACCTACCCTATATATCCTAGGTGATGCTTTCTCGAAAGAAAAATAAAATTCAGGCGCAATTTACGAATTACTTCTATGAACATCGGCAACAGTGTCACAAGGTGCTACAAACAGGTCTCCAGGCCATGTCTATAGGAAGAGTCAACGGTAAATTATAAAAAGAAAATAAAACATCCTAATTTACAGACATTTTTCCCT